AGCGTCATCTAGAAAGCCCTGTAACTGAATTGCCACTGCCCTCTCTATTATCTTGTCGAAATAGGGCAAGTTGGAAACTGGCCGATAGTTGGCCAACTTGGCCGGGTCCAGAGATGGCGAGATGACTTTTTCAAGAGGGGGTGCACCACTGCTTCCTTAAGTGTCTCCGGGAAGTGCCCCTCTAGGAGGGACTTGTTGATAATCTCCCGCAAGACACCCCAAAGCCCCTCACAGCCAGCTTTGATTAGCCACGATGGACACGGGTCAAGGGAGCATGTGGTAGGGGATACAGTTAGGAGCAATCTGTCAACTTCCTCTAGGCTGAGCGGGTCGAAATAATCCATAATGTGATTAGAAGACATGCTTGGAGCATCGAGTTCATTCACTGTATCAACTGTAGCGGGGAGTTCATGGCGGAGTGACTTTATCCGCAAAATAGCTCGCAAAAGCCTCACAGCCAATATCCAATTCCCTATGATTTAGCCCGTCTTGTGACAGAGCAGTAATAGACTGAATTGTTCTAAACAATTGGGCTGGATGTGAGCTTGCAGATGCAATTGTGGCTGCATAGTACTGTCTTTTTGCGGCCTTGACTGTCATCTCATAGGATCTCATAAACGTCCTATAAGATGCTCTTTTGGCTTTGTCACGAGCACACCGCCACTGCCTCTCTAACGTCTCAGCCCCTGTTTCATTAGCCGCAACACCTGGGTAAACCATGGAGCAAGCCTAGATCGGGGGCGCAGAGGGTGCCGGGGAGCAATTTCATCAATGGCTGTTGAAAGTCAGTTATGCCAATCCTATACAAGCTCATACAACGACGCGCCAAGGGGCTTCGGATCCTGAAGAGCCATCTGAAGCCTCACTTGGTCCATTAGGCTCTGTGGGTAAGCCCAAATTGGCTCGCCACCCAAACAGGGTTGGAGTGGAATATTTAAATCGGCCTTCAAGGCAAAGTGGTCTGACCATGGCAGTGCCAAAGCAGTGATCCGGTCCACTGCACCCCCTGCTGTGAAGATCAAATTGAGTGTGTGCCCAGCCCGGTGAGTGGGGAATGTATCACTTGGGGTGGTCCAAAGATTTTTGAGAGGTGCAGCCTGGCCCCAATGTCTCCCTGTGTGATTGTCCTGGGGGAACCTTGCTTTGAAGAAGCTGGCACAAGAACTGGGCTTTGGATCAGGAAATACGATATCTCCCCTTGAAGGGGGAGGGTCCCCTGAATGTAGGGGTGTATGACATATGTTGGTCCACTCCAGACCATATTTTGGGGTTCAGTGTTTTTGGTTAAATCTCTCCCTTATATATAAAGCCGTAGTGGGCTCCAACGTTCCAAATGCGCACCGTTAGTGTTTGGCTGGAAGAACTGCCACTCAGAAGACACTGGCTGTGATGGCTGGCTCCCTCAGGGCAACTGGGGTACCATTGGCTGGGTGGCTGGGAGGGGACGGATGAGTTCTCACTCGCCTTGGAGCGCCTGGATGGGACAGATGCTCCACTGGTCAGGGATACCAGCCCGATAGAGCCGGCACTGTCGTCCTCACCCCACCACTGAACCACTGAGGTAAACCTGCCTTCCCCGTCGAAGCCCGGCGACCGGAGCCTGTAGCCTCCACTCGCCCAGCTGGCTCCCCCCCCCGCGCCCACTCTAAGCTGCTTCCCCCCCCGCGCCCACTCTAAATGGCCGCCCGCTGCTGCCCGATTTCCCTCCTGCATCAGCCCACCCCCCCCACCCACTTGAGAGCACCCCATTTTCCCCCGCCAGTTGCAGGCTGCCTGCTCGCCACGCT